TGCAGGTGGAATGAATCTCGGGAAATACCAGTCGGAAGGTACACGTATTATATATCGTTGGAAATCGGAGAATTTAAAAAAAAAACATATTTAATATATAAAGTTGTAGTAGGTAACGGAGAGTGGCGAAACATTTATAAATAATAATTTTTGAAAACTAATATTATTTAACGCTAATCACACGTTTTCAAGGAAATTAGATGAAGTTTACTAACTAAATGTAAATCTTTTAAATATTTTTAAGTTTGAAAAAGTATTTAAAATCCACCTAATCAAGGCAATTCCATTGTTAAAAAAACTATTACATTGTATTTGTGTGAAAGAAGAAGTGAAATATCAAATCATTTCATGGATGTATAAAGCATATGTTTATAACCTTAAATACATTTACTGTAGTATAATAATTCTAGATATGATATTATATTTAAATAATTAGGTATCAGCATGCGTTTATTCCGAAAAATCGTCATGTGACTTTTCAGAAAATTAAATTAGTGAACAATTTGAGGAATTTTCCCTTTTGTGAAATCCCAACATTATCATGTCTTCCTCTAAAGTACGTTTAATTTAGTTTATTATAAATAATAACTATTTCTCATTTTTAGGAGTTACGAAAAAATGCTAAACTTAAGTTTTGAAAGAATTTGATAATTGAATAGGGGAGAAAAAAGAAAAATACATATCCATGGCGAAAATGAATATCCGGAAATAATAGTCAGAAGTTATACGTATAATATATCGTTGGAAAGCGAATTAAAAGAGAATTAAAAAAACAAAACAATATCTAATAGAGAAAATTCTAGAAGGTAACGGAAAGTGGCGAAAAAAATATAAATAATAATTTCTAAAAACTAGCATTATTTAACGTTAAGTCATGTGTTTTCAATTAAATTAAATGAAATTTTCCTTCAAAATGTAAACTTTTAACTTTTTTTTTAATTTTGAAAAATTATTTAAAATGCATGGATTCAAGGCAATGACACTGTTTAAGGTACTATTTCATTGTACTTGTGTGAAAGAAGAAGTAAATTTCTTTGAAATATTTATAAGTTTAATTTACTGTAGTTTAATAACTCTAGATCAGATATTATATTGAAATAATTTGGTAGCAATCGTTCGTTTATTACAAAAAATCACCATGTGACCTTTTATAAAATTAAATTGGTGAATAATTTGATGAATTTCCCTTTTGTGATACTCCAACAATAAAGGATTTCCAATTATTGTGACAACATTTGACCTGTCTAAGGCAGACAGTGCAAACCTTTTAATTCCATTTTAGTAAACTTTGCAATCGAAAATAACAGTTTAATAACTAATATCGAGTAAGTTAAGCGGTAAGTGAAAGTTGTGTGTTGGGTGTTGGGTGCCAAATTTTTTTTTACTAGCTCCTAATAAATCCGTTTCTGATACTTTAACTTCATAACAATACCTCATCGTGGTTATTTACAAATTCCATGATGAGTCGTTATATTAGGTTTGTGGAAGCCAAATTTGGTAGTGAAGATTTTGTCAAAACAAGTAAAAAAAGATATAACTGAATGACAGTTCGTTCGAATACTGAATGAACCACAAGTCAAGCACGTGATGGGCCAGTTAGGTTATTCGGATGTTGGTTTATTAATTTTTAAACAGACGCAATCAAACAAATAAACTTTTACTAATTCATGTCAATACAAAAGACGTTCAGAACATATCAATATGTAATATCAATGCATTTATTAATAGCATTTGATTCATTCCTGTATGTGCTAACAAGGCAATTGCAAATGACGCGTTCTAATTTTATTCAATTGAGACTAAAATTTAATCAAATATTAGTCTTTCTGATAAAAAATCAAACGTATTACATAAACTTTATATGGTTGATGTGTAAAGTCAGTATCCTTTTTTTCAAAATCATTATTAAAATGAGTTTTCGGCATTTCCTGATGTTCGCATCTGGGTAAGTTTATAAGCTTAAACAATTACCTTTTAAGGTACGAAAAACCACATCTACCTATAAGTGGTAGATACATCAAAGCTTAATCTAAAACATAAGAAGCTATTGTGAAGCGGACTATCATTCGGACTTTATTACCAAATTTTGAATAGAATAAAACTCCATCAGAAGGTGAGAAGAATCAATAAAATAAGGAACAAACAGAAAGAATAAAATGGAAAATCGAAATTGAGCTGAAGAAGAAATTCGATTCGTATCTCAGTCAAAGAACCTCTCGGTCGATCAACATTGGGTATGTATATATATATATATATATATATATATATATATATATATATATATATATATATATATATATATATAATATATATATATATATATATATATATATATATATATATATATATATATATATATATATATATATATATATATATAATATATATATATATATATATATATATAATATATATATATCTCAATATATGTATATATCTCTAATATATATATATATATATATATATATATATATATATATATATATATATATATATATATATATATATATTAGAGATAAGTGTAAACAAACAAACAAAAATGAGGAAATAATGTATGGTAATAAATAGATTTTCTCAGAGAAGGGATATAAACTATTGAAGAAAACTAGCTGACTGGAAATATTTACGAATCCTACCAAAAAATGAGAAAAGAGGAGCCATGAAATAAGACAAAAAACATTCAAATTAGAGAAAAATGCGATAAACTGGCGGCTTGAAGAAAAGGATACAATGAATCTGGAAAAAAAAATTTCTCCGTCAAAAGAAACTTACGAATGAAGAAATCATGAACAACGCTAAGAGCCTTAATAAACAAAAGAATAATATTTTGGATGTGCAAATACTTTCCGGCATAGTATTGATATGGAACTAATTTTCACATCTTACAATAATTAATTACGTTCACGTGTGACAAAATTCTTCGAGATTCTTTTTTGCAAGATAGCCTTCACCAACGAAGTTTTTTTTCGATAGCTACCAAGAGATAAATATGCAACTTAAAACGGTGGATCCACGCATGTCGAGTAAAACGGGTAATTTTATGACATTCGTTCACAGAGGAGACATTTAGAAAGTAAATTAGTATATCATTTCGAACCGAGCTAGTTCCAAGAAAAATGCGGCACGAATTTGACTAAGCATTGAACATTTTTAAACCAAAAGGTATTATGTTTAATCACTACAATGGCGATAACTCTGGTGGGATGACTTTCATCCAGCCACAGTAGTTCTAGGAGTTTCTTATTTTTTGTCAATGAAAAAAAGAAAATCTTCAAGGTGCCTCAATCATTTGCATTGATTAAATGTTAAAGAAACATCGGCTTAGGTGAAAAAAAATAATTTCGAGAAACAATATGTCGTCGGTTTTTTAAAAAGAAATCATTTAGTGACACTTCGTAATCCTAAATCACTAAGAATATTAATGAAGTTTTCGTTCAGAATATCTACGAATTATGCACTTTTTGTTAGTGTGTTTGCTATATAAAAGGATTTATTCCATGTTTGTGGACTTTCTGTCTTTTTATCAATAAATAAGATCCAAATTTTTAAAACTTCAGTTCGATTAAAAATGTACTTCCTGATTTTATTCTATTAACCGATAGTATGTAGGCAAGTACAGCAATACTGTGCCGGAAAATCAAAAAACTATAAATTATAAACCAGCGATACTTCAATTGCAAATAAGAAGGAGAACCAAATTACATTTTAACATCAACTCAAATTTTATTAATAAGAAATAATCCATATTTCCTCCTCCTTTCTCATTTTTAAGAACTTCGTCGACGAAATATGACATGAATCATTTAGCAATACTGCCATTAAAGTAAAGCTGATTGGTTTAAAACATTTGATATTGCATTACCTCGAAAATTGTGCATTTCTCTGCACTTTTTCTGCAGGGTATATAATATATGCATAGTAATGATATATATAATATAACTCTATACAGTGTATATATACTGGGTGTCCCTTATTTAAAGAGAAATATTTAAAAGGTTGATAGTGATAGTATGCATCAATATATACAAAAGTTCATATAAACAATTTTCCAATTTCCAACAGATTTCTGTTTTTTTATGTGAGTCACGTTATATATGTACTAAAAACTCACGAATGCCCATTTGCTTTCCACTTGGATTGTAAGATATGATCAAAAAGTCGAAAAAAGTAGCCTACAAAAATATTGGTCCATTTGGAAAATATAACTTCGTTATGTTACTTAAGATCATGAAAAACGGACCAATGTTTTTATAAGACACCTTTTTTTTCGACTTTGTGATGATAATATCTAACGATTCAAGTGAAAAACAAATGGCTATTGATGAGTTTTTAGTGCATACTTAAATATACAACGTTTGCTGATCTTCGGATGGAAAACGCACGAATACTGTGAACTTTCGTAAAAAAAAAATATTTGTAGGTTACGATGGGATGAAGCTATGTACGAAGTTTCAGAGAGAAATTAATAATTTGATAAAAAGAGGTCTGTACCACGGACTACTACATCAATACGGACCGAATCGATTCGATTCAAGAGTCCCCTTTTCAAATTAGCGATCAAAATTAGGTTTTCTTGAGACTATTAATATTCAACGTTATTTAACAATCAATCCCGATTTTAACCTTCATATCATAAATATTAATGATGTATACCCAGGTGGAGTAAGGTATTATTTTCCCGGTCCGGACAACTGCATAACTGCTATAAAAGGCACTGTGTGTGATTCTTTGGTCAGTCTTCAAAAGCTCCCCTAAGGTGAGTAATACATTAACCATTTATACATATGGTAAAGAAGACTTTAGGGTTTTTAAATATCCAATATTTTATTTTTTTATATACGATAAGAAATGTGCTTGTAGCTTTCTTGACCAGATTTGTAACACTTTTCAAATTACTTGATTTTTGGTGGGTTATTGTATCATCAAGAGATACTTTTCCAATTATAATTTTAACCCATAATTGAGCTATAAAGCATCCATTAAATAGTCTCTAATTTCACAGGAAATATTAAAGAAAATGGAGTTGAAGTATATCTTTTTCGGCGCTCTGATCTGCCATGCGGTTATGGTAAGTTTTATAATATAATTAATGCAAGCTTAGTATATTCCAAAATGAATAACCAGGTTAAATATAGCAAGAAAATAAAAATGGAAAAAAATTGATTATAAAACTTAAGCAAATTAAGATTATAAAACATCAGTAGAATTATTATAAAAATACCTCGAGTAGATTCGCTATAGCAATAAACTTTCATTTTTAGAGCGTAAAATCCGCTGCTAATCTCAAAGCTAACTCAAATCCAAACATATCTGTAATCAGGTTGTTTTTTTTAAATTAATTTATTTTTTATGTAATTTAATTATTTTATGGTTTTATTTGTTAAAGTATCGACAATTCGTTACCATAAAGTATGATCATATAATATCATTTTAAACTAAAAAAAATTAGCATACTCAAACTATAGTAATTTATTTTCCGTTTTTTTACCTCAAATTGTTTCAAAGCAATATCTGGATTTTACTGAGTAATGACAACCGTCAAAGTTAAAAATCTTGAATGTTATTCACTCAAAAAATCGTTACATATATTTTATTGGATTAATTAAACTAATTTTATGTAGTATTTTTTAATTCGTTTAAAATGATCTAATAATTTAACGTATTAAATTAAGAATAGCTTCAACTGTTTTGTCAAAAAATTGTTACACACTTTTTAAAAAGACACTATTCATTTAATTATGAAATAGAATTTTTAGCTCAAATTTCTTCGCAACACTCAGGTAATCTAATAGAATAATTTGATCCATCAAACATAAAAATCGATCCAGCCGTTAGATCGAAAAAATTGTAGCATACTTTTTAGAAAATCGGTTATACACATTTTTTTCAATAAAGAGTTAAAATATTTTGCAATATTTAGTATAAAATATAATCCAATATTTTGAGCTAATATTGTTTTAGAACACTTACGGAATCTAAAGGAATTTATTAATAAATAAATTATAATAATTTATAATATGAAAGAAAAATATCAAAACGAATTTTCAATCGAAAAAATCGTTATATACATTATAGCGAACAACCCCAACACATAACTAATGCGTCGCTTCCCTTTCAAAAATAAAATTATTAAAGATATCAAACTTGAAAATCAATGCAGAAACAAAATAAAAACGGAAATAAAATTAATTGTGTAACTTAGCAAATTAAAATTATAAAACATCATTTGAATTATCATAAAATACCTTGAATTGTTTCGATAAAGCAAAACCTTTCATTTTTAGATCGCACATTCCGCTGCTAATCCTAGAGCCAATGGAAATACGAAGAAGCTATTGGCAGCTCTGAGCAAACTTGGAGACCGTATGCTCTCTGGAGCCTTCGGAGGCTACAACCTCTTCGTTCATGAGGTCGGTTTCTCCATGGAACAAGCTTACGGGATCCAGAAATTGACGAACAAGTTACCTGCCATCTATGGAATGGACTGTTCTCCGGGTTGGGAGACCACTGCTGAAGGCCATGAAACCGACATCATCGATTGCTTTCACCCACAGATAGTAGATTACGCCAAAAAGGGTGGCATCATTACCATCAGCCACCACTTTCCTAACCCTGTGTTTGCAGGCAATAAGGTTGACGGAAAAGGAACACTTACCAACTCTCAGTACGCCTCTATTCTTCAGGCCGGAACACCTGCAAGAAACAGGTGGTGGAACATGATGGAAAAGATCGCTAAAGGCCTCCAAGCGTACGAGGACCAAGGGATTACCATCCTGTATCGTCCCTTCCACGAGATGAACGGAGACTGGTTCTGGTGGTCAGCTCTGCCCGACGAAAGTCAGAACGGAGAGAGGCAGCGTCTCTTCAAGCTCCTTTGGCAGGATCTCTTCAACTTCATGAAAAACAAAGGCCTGGACAACCTCCTTTGGGTCTACTCTCCCGATCAAAGCAGAGGCTCCAAAACCGCTTACTATCCTGGCAATAATTATGTCGACATCGTTGGTTTGGACTGGTACACGGAAGACCCGAACAGCTATGTTAACGGCTACGATGAGCTCCTTGGACTTGGAAAGCCTTTCGCCTTTGCCGAAGTCGGACCATACGGAAAGAGTCAAGGGAACTTCGACTTCGATTTATTCATCAGGAATATAGTATCTCGATACCCGAAGGCTGTATTCTTCATGCCATGGAATGGTATAACCAGTCCAATCCAGAACAGAAACATTTGGGGTGTTTACAATAACCCTAAGGTGGTCAACTTGGGGGAGCTGAAAGTGCGTTAAAGCTTCAATATTTATTTATGTCCTTCCTTATTAACATGACACAGAGAATAAAGAATTAAACGACTTAGAAAAAGAAATCTTTATTCATTTCCTTACTTCTCTTTTGTTAATATATTATTTTGGTTTCGTTCCCTAATAGTAGCTGTCATCTATAAATATCTATTAATCAGATATTTTAATTAAATTAAAAAAATTAAATGAAAAATCCCGATCAGCCTACACATGAGCCCTATCTTATCTTAATATGTTTAATAAAATAAAATAAATACCGAAGAAGTGGACTCGTAAAATAAGCATTTTAAAATATTTTTAATTTTATATACTGACTGTGGTATATAAGTAATTTCATTTCGAAATATAACCTTTTCTTCAAACATTTCACAGAAAAGACACAGGGTAATAAAATGCACTATTTCGAAGTAATGCAATGAATGAATAAGAAATGCTTTATTAAACATGAATAAATTATAAATTTCAAAGTATACAGAATAATTATACGTCGTGATTATTCGTCTGCCGGAAATTTTATATGTTTTACAGTTACACTACACATAAAGACTTTATAATAATTATATATACATGAATAATTAATAAATACTAAAACAACAAATACAAATATAAAATAATAAATATGTTGAATAATTTATATCTAAGAAATAATAATAAAGGAAAATATAATAAAAATAGGTAAATCATAAACAATAACATGAATAAAACTGACCAAAAATAAATTAGATGGATCATTGTCTATGCTGGATGTAGCAAATTAAAACGGTATATCCACGCATGTCGAGCACAATCGAAAATTTACGACATTCGTTCAAAGAGGGGGCATTTAGAAGGGAAATTTTTTTTATTTATTTCTTTTTTTAGACATTAATATTCTGTCTCGAGGACAATAATTTTAGTGATAAATGAACACATTCATACCATATATACAGAAAATATAAAATTAACAAAAGTAAAATAATAACTAAATAATTTTAAAAAGACTACGTACATTAAAAAATAAAATAACCTGAAGATAAGTAAATTAAAAATCTGGTGCGCGCAACACACAACTTTCACTTACTCTTTGAACCTTGAATAAAAATTATTTTCTGGCCATGTTAGGCTATTATAAAATGTTTTAAATTGCATTTTAAACTGAGCTAAAGCTAAAAAAACACAAATGCTGTTAAAATAACAAAAGTCCTATTTATTATATCACCGGTTGATTATGGATTGTACGATTCGTTGATTATGGATTGTTCGATCCATTGATTATGGATTGTACGACTATAAGTCATTAAACTGTTATTTTCCATTGCAAAATTTATTAAAACGGAATTAAGAGATTTACAGTGTCTGTCACAGACAGGTCAAAAGATGTCACACTAATTGTAAGGGGATTCTGTTGGAATATCGCAAAAAGAAAAATTATCAAATTATTCACTAATTTAATTTTCTAAAAGGTTACATGATGATTTTTCGGAATAAACGGACGATAGATATCTAAATATTTAAATATATTATGAGATCTAGAGTTATATAACTACAGTAAATATATTTAGGGTTATAAACGTATCTATGAAATATTTTTGTATTTCACTTCTTTTTTCACACAAGTACAATGAAATGGTAGTGGAATATCACAAAGAGAAGATCTATCGAATTATTCACTAATTTAGTTTTCTAAAAAGTTATATGACAATATTTTGGAATTAACTTTAATACCTAATTATTTATACAGAAATACTTTATTAAAAGTAATGCTGCCCTACTACATAGGGTTGCTTCGTACAGAGCATACTTATCAATCCATGCGGACATTAATTTTATATTATATTTTTCTTTTTTTTTTCTCCCCCTACATAACAATACTCTTACAAATTATCAACAATAAACCATATTAAACAATAGACATAGCATAATAAACACTTTCAGAAAAAAAAATCCTATTTTCTCTTTAAATTCTCAAACGTCAGGAACGCAATTTAACATCGCGCACATATATAACACAGCAATTCCTTGAATATAGCCAAAAAGATAAGACGATTATGGACCAATTTAAAATTTAATAAATAATTACTAAACTGCAGTAAATGTATTTAATATTATAAACACATGGTTTATACATCCATGAAATGATTTTATATTTTATTTCTTCTTTCACTCAAGTACACTGAAATAGTTGTTTTAACAATGCCAACGACTTGCTTAGGTGGATTTTAAATACATTTTTAAAAAATTAGCATTACCTTATTAACACATTCAAAATTCCAAAACCGAAACAAAGGATATACCCATTGCAGCAGAACGTATTAAAAAAAACTAGAGACCATATCTTATCTCTTAATTGTCTGATTTTAACGTTTTTTTTTTTTTTTTTTTTTAGACTATTCCATAAACTTTTAGAAAACCATACAGCATTCCCAAAAAAGTGTATACTTTTTGAGTTATTCGGAATTTAATTTTATCATCCCTCGTAACTTTTTTTCAGCTTATTTTCGCTGATGAATGTTCTATAGATTTAATTTGAAGGGTGTCGAGAAAATGACTTTAGCGAAGTTTCAATGAAATCGGTACATTCGTTTAGGCGCTACAGTCTATAGCTACGTTTTTCTGCATTTTTATTTTTTTTCTCCTTTATTAACTTATCAAATTCTTTCAAAAATTATATTTAGCATTTTTCCGTAACTCTAAATAATGCGAAATAATTATCTTTTTAAAATAAACCATATTAAAGATACTTTAGAGTAAGACGTATATGAACATTGGGCATTTAAGCCTTGTAAAGTGACAT